CCCCCCGCCCCCCGTCCGCCCCGCGCCCCGGCTGCGGCGCCCCCTGGCGGTCGGAGGGCGCAGCAGCGAAACGCGCAGGAACGGGCGGCTGCCCGCCGCCCCGGCGCTCGCCGCAACTCCCCGGGCAAAGGCTTCAGCCCCGCTGCCCGGTCCCGGCGGGATGCCCGGTGAAAAACGTCCTCCGCCGCACCACGACCCTCTTCCCCAGCCAGGACAAACCGCCAAGGAAGGGGGTAACAAATATACTTTTAATAGAAAACGATCAGTTTGGCAATAAACGTTAAAGAGAATTATGTACACGAACAGGGATAAGCTAGAAACGGAATAAAAGGGATTTGTTTCTTGACCCGAGGTGAACGAGCACAAGCCCCTCCTGGTGCTGTGCCCGCTCACCCAAAGGCGGGGAGGCCTCCTCCAGCCCCCCCCAAACTCACCGGACAAAAAAACCCCAAAAGTTTACAGGCTGAAAAGTTCCAGGTTAGGTCTCGCAGCAAGATTTCTTTCACCGCCTGAGAAGAAAATGTGCTTCGTCTTTCCGTGCATGTAAGGACGGTGCAAAGGCTTGAGTGAACGTACATACAGCAGGTGGGTCAGCCCTCTTCTTAGTATTTAGCTGATCAGGATTAAAATTTTTATGCTGAAGATTAAAAATTCATTGCTTTTCACAGATGTTAATACACAGTATTTTTGCAATTTATTCTTATTACATTTGGGCATATAAATAGAGTCAGAACAAGCATAACTTTTGAGCAAACTCATTATTTACATATCTCAACCTTAAATGATACCTATTTCAATTTGCTGAAACTCCTGTCTAATATGAACAGATTTAAAGCTTCTGAATGAATATTTGTGCTAATAGGCCTAAGTCAGAATCTTTTGCAGCCCAGCCCTGGACACCTTTAACATAATACTCACTGTAAAATAATCAGTAAAAAAACCTGAAAATGGTCAAATCAAAACATAAGCTTGTCATTTTCATGCCACAAACAAACGTATATCTAATTCAGTAGTCAGAAATGCAGCACTAATGTTATAGCAGGAAGCTTTAACACAAAAGAGTAATCAGAAAGCAGGGCCATTTACTTTAAAGAGGCATAATCAAACACTGCTGCTCCCCAAAAAAATTTCTGCAGACAAATACCAAAATAAATAGGTGTTTCCCTATGCTAAAAAAGGTATTGGCCTAGATTACCTGAAAGTCCAGATTCTAAACAGAAAACTACAAGTTGAAAATATTACTAAATTTAGCTTAAATAGAAATTTTTACAGATTATCAGCGTTTAAGCTGACTATTTGGAATGACACTTCCTCTCACTGTGCAAAATTCATATGAGATTGAAAACAAAAGCATTCGCTAGCTTGCTACTTTATCCAGTAACAGGATTCATCTGTATTTGTCTTTTCACCTATGTGGCTGGATGCCCACAGAAAAAAATACAAAATGCTATTCTGCCTTCATACGTAGATCTTCATGTGGGAGTCAACTCAAAGCACTGTTTTTTATTTCACTGTCACTTGTGGTATACAGGATTTAAACAGGAATGGCTACTGTGGTTTCACTGGGGCAATTTCACAAACACACCAAAAAAGTTAACGTAAACAGCTCTGCTGAATCAAAGACTGTATACGGTTGGGTTGTAGTATTACGCAGCAGGAGCAGAACTCTTCTGCAGTTAAGATCCCGTTTACATGCAAATGTATCTGTTTTATTACCAGACAAATGGCAGAAATTAATGTCTTATTAGAAGTTGTCTTATGCAATCCTGCAAGGAGCTAGAAAAAAAAAATAGTTGCCTTTTAAGTTTTACATATACTAGAGCAAACATTTGATACTGCAGGTTGGTTACCAATATATACAACTTTCCCCTCATGAGATGAACTGTTAAATAATGAAAAAGCATCAGAATGAAAGCACATGTATGAGCTACACTAGGATTAGGCTGCTGGGAACTCACAAACAGGTGAGACTAACAATTTTGTTTCTTCCTATTTTTTGATTAATAACATTTGTAGCAACAGGATTTTTTTGTTGTTGGTTTTGCTTAGCTGTTTTGCACTATAATCATCAAATGAAATTAATCACAATCACAACAAATAATGTATAGCAAGGCAAGGATTAGGACAACAAAGTGGCATGTTTCACCAACATTCTCCAGAAGCAGCTACTTGGTTCAACATTCTGAATTTGAACAACAGAATACAGGGATTTCTTTATTTAGAGCTTTCTTAAAAAAATGGGAACATCACAAAATGAGCAGTTCTTGTTAGCTATAGTCATACTGGATATATATATATATATATATATATGGTTCTGCTGAAAGGAATTCTCTTTGTTCTCACTGGAAAGAACAAAGGCAGCTTTGTAAATATTTATGAAGGAGGCTGAGAAGGGCATCATCTAACTAAACCAAATAAATCATCCACTGACACTTGCATCCTATTCTTCACATTTGTAACAGGCAGACACAGTATTTAAATAAACTGAACCAATACAACTGGCAGTCTGGGACCTTGCTCTTCCTTTCCCAAAATGACTGGATTTAAGGCTCCTTTCAAGCATTCCAACAGGTAAGAATTTCAATGAAAGTTTAAACCTGTCTGCACAGTCAGACATTAAAGGAATACAGTCCAGAAAGCTTTAGTGTAACTACTGCGTTGAATTCTACAGCCATCATGGTACTTCAGAACCAAAAAACAGAATAAGTTCATGGCAAAAGATAAAAGTAAAGAAATAGACACAAAGGTCTGTGAAAACATCTCCCATTTTGCTGTAGGTGTCCATGGAGCGACTAATGACTTCTGCAGGGATTCCAGACAGTAAAAGAGCAGCAGTTAATACTGTCGTTTTCACCTTCTTCTCACACTAAAAGAAAAAAAAAACAAAAACCACACACAAACAGTATTACATTAGTTCTTCTGCTATAGTCCAATTCTGCTTTATATTTCACAAATGTTGTGACGGTTTCACACACAGCCAGGCACATTCCAAATTCATCGGTAAGATTAGCAGCTTTGGATTGATTCTCTCCAGACACGCTCCAGGATTCACAATGCTTATCCTAACTACAGATTCATGTTGTGATGGATCCAATGGAGCTGAGCGAGAAGCTAGTTAACAGCAGGTAAAATTCATCACAGGTATTATGCCTGCTTCATGCTGGCACTCCAAGCAGGCTGTAAAGTGGGGCTATGCAGCAGCTTCTGCATGAGCAGGAAGAGTCCCAGACAAGGGCAGCCTGGGTGTAAGAAGCCAAGCCAGGCATCTCCACTGGCAGAACAGGATTAATCTCTTCACACTACTTGGCAAAAAATAGTTACTTTTCTAACATATAAAAATGATTTAGAATTGAAAACCAACTGTTTCTTTCTATTTTAGCATGACTCCCTTCGGCAATTTTATCCTCTCCAACTCAGAAATGCCCAAAAGCCCTTTTGAAAGCTGTGCTCCTGTCCTTAAGATAAGGAATCCTGAGGATGCAAAGTCTGACAGGCAGGAAAAGATGATAGTGGCTGAAAGTTTTGGCAATTTGATACTTGCTGAACATCTTAATTTAATCCAATCTAAATTAAGCTTTCAAGAATCTTACTAGGTTTCATGAGAGAAAAATGAAGGATAACAAGCTGATTGACCTCACCTGGGTGTAAGCGCAGTAAAAGCAAGCTGTGGAAAGGCACCACCTCTTTAAATTTTGAAACTGAAGAGCTGATTTTAAAGACAGTGGAAACAAGATCAAAAAGATCTAGCAGATGAGCTAGTGCAAGTCTAAGGCTAATTCTACTGTTCTGTGTTGTGACACGTCAGCTTAGAATGACTACTATGAAGTTTAGTTTTCAATGATATACTTAACTACAAAAGAACTGCTGATTTATTCTGATTTGCTACAGGTAATCTATTATTCCTTTAAAATGCAAATTTTCCCTTTCAACTATGGCTTGAGCATCATTCAGTCCTGCTTTGCACTGTAGACCTGACAAAATCATCAACCAAATACTTCAGCACAATTAACTGGTGTAAATATATAAAGCAAGTATATAGCAAATCTTGCTAATAAGCAGCAAGTTTCACACACAAATAAATGTCTCATTTCAAGCTGCCATTCAAACAGATACTAGCAATGGAATCTAGAGCCCTTAAAACCCAAGGACTGTCTCATTTTTTAACGAACACCCTCCCAAATTTCATCCAGGTATCACATGCAAAGAGCTGCTGACAGAGCAAACAGTAACCACAGAACAGTATGGTCTAGGAGAAAAGCAAAAATTTCCTGAAGACATGAAAGAACTACCTGGCTTTCCTGGTCCGATGCTTTCAATTAGGCTACAGCTAAACAAGCTGCTAGTCCACGTTTTCACAGCAACTTTTAAAAAAGATTTGGACTAAATCTGGGAAGATTAAAAGCTAGTATAAACTATCAGCATTTAGAAACTCTCAATTCTACAGTTTAAAACAAGGGAAGAATACTTCACATGCATTGGTCCTAAAACAATACAATCTAAGCACAAGTTTAAATTTAAAACATTTCAAATTAATTATGAAAAAAATATTTTACCTTTGGAAAGTACTTGGACAGTCCCATGTAAGCAAGTTGCAGAGTAAGAAACGGTGCAAATATTGACTAAAGGAACAGAAAAGAATATACAAAAATTAACTTGGTCAGAAGTAATAGCTAATAAAACACAGTAATTTAATGCTTTCCAAGTCATAAAAGAAAGTTACATAGGTAAAAAAATAATTTTTGGACAATAGCAACAGTATTCTTGAATACTACAAACCTAAGTAGACAAGTTACATGTCAAAAATGAGGTTCTGCTTTATTTTCTTTGAGCCTAAAAACCTGAAAACCTGAAGCGTACAGCAGCATGTAAAAATGAGCCCAGTGATCCAGGAGGTGGCAGGCTGTACCAGCCACACACCTCTGTATGATGTACTGGCAGACACCAGGAATATTGAGGAACTACTTTTCTCAGAAGACTGATAAATGAGTAGGATCTGCTTCTCTTGGACAACTATTATTGTTCTTACTCTATTATTCTTTTGTAGATTCCAAACTAGAAGAGCAGTTGACTCATGCTCACAAAGATGGGAATAAACTTGCAGGGGACTGAAGCTGCAACAGCTATTCTAGTGCTTCTGCTCCTCAAACACTACAGGCCAAACGCATGCTACTCTCAGCTGTTAACACAGTGGCTGTGTTAGGTAATGCAGATTCATCTTAAAGAATTTAGAGATTTTTTTAGGTTTTATACAGTTGTTGGAAATGTAGAGTGCCTGAAGTTCCAAACTCAGTCGCTACTGATGGACTTCAGCCCTAGATAAAGGATACTTTACAGTAAGTTTGCAGTAAACTAGCAAAACAGAATAGGATTGTTTGTTTCCCTGAACTCACCAAGTACTTGCACACAAAAGCCCTGACTGCGATGGCAAGCAGAGCACATCCCACCAATCTAAAAATGCGGAAAGAGTCAAACTCCTCCACTGCATTCCCATTCTCTTGGCTTGGCTTCTCATTCATCAGCTGGTTCCTCAGCTTCAGAGCTTCATCAAATCTGGATAAGTACTGGTCTAATCCATGTCTAGGTGGCCGTGGTGCAGCTTCAGATGGCAGTTCCCCTCTATTACGGTGACGGAGCTCACTTGTACCCTCATTGACAAGCTCTGGAGTTTTACTGTACAAGTCCTTATCCCCTTTGAGGTCTAACATGCTGCCTGCATGGTCAGCCGTGCCTGCCATATTACAGACAGAATCACCAAGCACAATTCGCTTGGAAACTGAAGGAATGGGAAGCGAGTTTGATTTATCTTGTTCGTGCTGAAGCTTTGATTCTGTGTGACTTTCGTCATCTAAAGAAGAGAAACAAAAATACAGAGTTATGCACACCAGGTAAATGGAACACCATTCGAGCCATACTGGATTGGGGTCCTGGGTTGATGCCTCCACTTCCAAAGTGAAAAGACAGATTTATGATTAATAAATGTGCCAATTATTAATCACAAAGCCATCTGACATACCTGAATACAAGCAATCCCATTTTAAAAAGAAACAGGCTCAGCTCATACACAACCTACTTGTATATCAAAGGAAACATTTACACTCAGACTTTGGTTACACAACAGATGATGGTAACAAAAAGGGAAGAGCACAGCATGGCCTAGACTGAAAACGCTCATCAGCTTCACCAAAATTACATTTTTACACAGCTGGACTCAGCACACTCCTGGATCCCCTCCATCAGCCTACAAAGAACCCTACATGTACCTGCCTTGCATTGCAGGGCACTCTTCAGAAACGGCACAGACACGAGACAGAAAGCTGTGCAACACTGGTTGGAAGTTGAAGCTGTCAGTCAGCAATAGAGAAATTAAAACATCAGACTTCCTTAAGCAACAATGTTGCATGCCCAAGAGGAAAGTTGTTCCAAATACATGAAGCAACATGAAAAAAGGACAAATATTTACAGAAAGTGCATCACATGGAAGGAGCATTAAAGACTGACAAATGAGCAGGCAATAGAAGGAGTGTACTTTGGCTTGTTCTTCTCTATTGTCAGAGGCAAAGCAGTGTTAACCTGCTCTGTATTAAACCTGAAGACCCCATCTTACAGCAAGAGATGATCCTAGAGAAAAAAAATCAAACTGAGAGGTGTGCAGAACAGGTCTGGTCCTACCAGAGAGGAAGAACCAATGCTTAAAGAGTATTTTTCAGCATTAAAGCATATTGATTCACAGCATATGGGCACCCTTGTAAACTGAAATCGGAGAGCTCTTTCCTGACAAGACAGTCAGCCTCCTCAAAGTATGTACAGAAATATAAATGACCTACCTATGAATCTGCAAGAAAATTCTGCATGTCAACCACAAGCAACCAATGACTGGTTATTATCCAAATGCGAGAAAACTTCAATATGAAAACACAACTATGAAAGTAGTTACTGTATGAAAATGTAGGGGAGGCTCATCGTTTCTTCAACCAAGAAAAACTACTTGAAGGGAAACGACAGCTTGTCTCCTCGCTATGGATGAACAGTAACAGCCCCAAGACCCGATCTCGGCACATTTCTGGTGACACACGTATTCTATCCGCGGGTCTCTCGAGGACCAGAGAAGGTCGTGCTTGACTTAAAGCATCGCTGAAACGAAAGATCGCACCGAGAGGCCAAACAGCAGCCGCTGGGAGCCAGCCACTGTCCCGTGAGAAGACTGCGGGGGGGAGCGGTTACGGCAGAAGGAGGCCGCAGCCCGTCCTCACCGCCAGCCCCGCGGCCGGGACCCCTCACACCACCGCCGCCGCAGCCCCGCCGCCACCCGGCTCACCCTTGCCCACCGCGGGCCGGTGGAAACCCATGATGCGGTTGATCCGCTCCTCCGAGTTCATCAGCAGCTTCCTCCGCCGCAGCTCGGCTCGGCGCTGGGAGGCCGAGAGGCCGGCAGGGGCCCCCGGGGGCGCGGGCACTGCTCCCGCCCCACCGCCGTCCTCCATCCCCGGCAGAAGAGGCCGCGGCGTTACCTCAGCGCCGCACAATGGGGCCGCCCCGCCTCAGCGCGCAGGCGCCAGCGCCGCCCGCCTCCGACCGCTGAAGCAAGCGCCGCCATCTCGCGTAAGGGCAGGAGGACGAGGAACCGCGCGGGGAGAGCCCTCGGCGGGGCGCGCTCTCTGGCCGGACGCCGCCCGCACTGAAGATGGCCGCTCCGGCCTCGGAAGTGACATCACGGCGCGAGAGGCGATGGCGTCAGCGCAGCGAGGAGGCGGGAAGGGAGCGATGGCCGCGGGGCGGCGCCGGCCCAGCGGGGCTGAGGTGGCGGCGGGGGTGGTGGGGGGAACGCTGCGCTGAGGGAAACCTGCCTGACAGCTGCAGCCAGGGTGAGGGGTTTTGCATGCCTATAGGAAAAGCAAACCAGCGGTGACGTGACTTCATGCTCTGAGGGCCGGTGCTGGCCAGCAACTTCCTTGGTTTGCTTAAAATTCTGATTTCGGTAAACCTGGCAAAGCCAGGAGGAAAATCTGCTTAGCGATGCTATGTAAAAACTGGTACAGGATAGTAGCATTCTCCTTATCATACAGAGAGATGTTTCTACAGAGTTTCTGTGTAGAAACTTAAAAGCATTAGAATAAGCAAACGTTCATGTTTCTAACCAAAGTAGTATTTGCCTCTCTAACTAGAAAAACAACAGTTAAAACTGACTGTACAAAAGGAGCAGAACATCAGAGGTGTTCACAAGGCTAAGTTCACAGAGATGTTTAATTTCCAGCACGCAACGTTTAAACTACAAAGTGCGAGCCCCCATTGTGCTCCTCAGGCAGAACAGATCAGCGCGCTGAGGGGGAGCGCAGTGCCAGGTTGTGAGATTTTCTGTTGGAAAAGCTTTGAGGGCTGCTGTGCAGCTGAATTTAGGAAGTTAATTTATCATCTTGGCACACTCCAAACGAGGGAAGAGAATATGCTGTTTATTAGAGTGCCAGGAAACAGACGGTTTTGTGTGGACATGAAACGAATACACAGCGTAGGGAAATGCCTTCTAGGTGCTGGTAGGCAGCACGGGTCAGCTTCCCGAATCGTATTCCCAGTGTAGTGTCACTGCACTGCTGTTAATATAGTGAGCAGCTGAAGGGATTGACTATTCATATTGAGGAAAAAACCAAGGGAAGAAGGACCTCTCAAGGATGCCAGAGTTACTGTAACAATATAAAACAAGGAGTGTCTTCGGTTCTTTCTAGCAAGATACAGTTGGCATAACATCCATATTTATGCACAATAATAAGTCCATCACACCTCTACTTGCATGACAAAAAGTGACACAACTGGGCTACAGTATTATTCCCTTAGCTGAACATTCACAGAGCTAACATGCATAGCAAAAGGACCTGAAAGCCAAACCACATGAAGACAGGGACATGGATACTTTCCATCAATACTTCAAACTAATTACCTTCAACATCCTTGACACTGAACAACTTGCACTCCTTAACTCACAGACTGCGCCACAGGCACTTCAATTAGAAGCAGGACTCAGCTTCAAGATCCTGTATTTGGAGTTCCAAAGACCAGTGCTAGGATGGCTGCCTGTTGAACGCCGAGCTACAGCTGGAGTGGTGAAATTCAGCAGCAGCGGGACAGATCGTTACATGTATTGAGGAAGAACTTTATGCCAACAAGTCCAATTAATATTTCTGTGATACTAAGTGATTTAGAGAATGATAGGATTCTGTATTCAAAAAACTGTTAAATACAGAGGTAAAAGTACCAAGCTCATGCATTAACTTATGTACGATGAACCAGCATGATGACAGCTCATAAAAAAAACTGGCAAGCATAAGATGGAATGACTATTACAAAAAAAGTGTTGAAAGACTAGGATGTTAAATGAAGATACCAGGTTACCTACAATAAAATGGATCACCATCTTGGGAACACTGCTGAAGGATAAATTCCAACCATAAATGTCAGCTGGCTCTTGAGACCACCTTCCAGCCAGATGGCAGGGTACCACATGGTGGGGTGCAGCACCACTGCGGGCTTACTGGAAGAACAAACCCCAAGGTAGGGCTGAGTAACAGGGCTGACTGACAGAGATGCTCTGGAGGGACAAAAAAAAAATGCCAGTGACAGAAGAAAAATTTGAGTCAGCTGGAACTAATTTTCTCAAATTCCCTCTCAGTTTTTATCACCTAAATACTACATTTTAGCTAAAAGCAGAATTTATCACTTTTGGTACATGGTATTTATCTCAATTGATCAAATACATTATTTATAAGAAAGGACTGATGGACTTGCATGAGTTCTTTCAATTAATTTTATTGAGTAGCCAAATCTGATAAATTAGCACAGATAAAATAAGCATTTGCATGTGTTACAAATTACTTTTTACAGGAATAAAACAGTGAAAATTACAAACTGTAAAAAGGAGGACAAGTAAATCCTGTCTCAAATTCAGAAGGGGGAAGATTTATAACTTCATACTGAAGATCAAATGTTTGAGTTCAGAAAACAAAGATTTAATATTACAATATTATACACTACTTTACAAAATTAAATTTACTATAAGGATTACATCCATAATAGTAAACAGAACCTTAAAATCACATTTAATGGTCCCTTACTTAACAGCCATTCTGCATCTTTGATTAAATTCTGTTAAGAAATTAATTCTAAAGAAAAGTGAATCATCTAGTTATTGCAACACAGTCTATGTGGACTTAGACTCAAATATATTAAATTAAAAACGATAATGAAAGCAAAGTAAAATGGATGGTAACAATGTTGGCTGAACACTAGTGTGTCAAATACAGAAATAGTTTAAAAAAAAAAGTCTTCAACTAGAAAAATAGAGTACATTTGCAGTGGTAGAGTTGTCGTGCTGAGATCTAAGTACCAGAGCCACTCTTGCCCGTTTTTGCAGTTCATCTTCAGTGTCCTCATTTTTCAATTGCGGGTAAAAACGACACATCATAGGTAGTTTGTGTGTTCATCTGTCCTGTATTGCCCTTACAGCAACACAAGGTGAACCAGCAGGCCTTTCCCCACTGTGAGGGAATAAACTAACGAAGTTCAATACAGAATTTCTTCCGAAGTGAAGAGAACTCCAAGAGAGTTCATCTGAGTCTCGTTTATAATGTTTTGCTCTGTAACACTTAGGGACTCTACTTCAAAGTTATTAATTGCCACAAAGACTGACATCTTTAGCCATTAGTCTGGTATACATAAAGCAATGAAGCTATCTCCAATATTGTATGTTTTTAAAAAAAATAAGGGATATAGTAGCAAAATACAGTCACAGTAAGAAACAGACTTTGGGTGGGCTGTTAGATGCAAGGATGCATTTCAACATCTGAGTGATAATATTCCCCAAACACGAGTTTTAAGTCATAACCTATGCAAGTGCATAGCTTCCATTTATGATTTAAAGAGACCCTTTCCGCTGGCAAAAAAAAAAAAATCAGACTGTCAAAACTTAAAAAACCTCTTCACTATGACTAGAAACCGTGCAATTCTCTGAAAATCTGTTCAAGTAAATATACTCCTGTTTGCTATGTAGACAGCAGACAGGGAAGCTTAAATTGGTTCTAATAGTCTTTTCATGCTATTTTAGACATTGTTCTGAACTTTAGCTTCTTGTGCTCAAGCGACAAGAACAACTTCCGCAAAGAAACTTCTCCCCTGAAGTAAGGCAACTCCTGACAATCACGTGCAGCTACAGCCTGAAATGGCAGCAAATGATTACCCTATGATGTCCTTTGACATTTGTATCACAAAATGTAAGTTAACTAGCCTAACCACAGTACATGTTTGACCACTTGTGTTTTACCTGTTCAAGTTACTTGCCTCAGAAAGTAGGTTTTGCAAGACCTTTAAGTTTACCACTATTAAACAAAAAAGCAAACCAAGATTTTTCTATATGAAACACTTCCATGGGCATTGGGATACAGTAATTAAATACTCTTTATGTTGGTAGCTTTCAGTGATAGCTTAATCTCCAAAACAGAACAATTACCAATACACTTTTACAAAATGATTTAAATATTTTTGTATATAAATTTTCACTTCAAGTTCAATGTCAACTTCCATTTGTAGCTCTGGCAGGGATCTGAGAGTATATTTAAAGCTTTTATTTGGTGCACACTGGCTTTGGACCTAGGCTCATTACACAGCTGCAGTAAAAAAAAAATATTTTTTTTTTTTAAACTTCAAGTGTGTCTCAAACCATAAACAAATCTTCAAACACAATATAATATTTTTGTCTTTGGAAAAATAGTTTCTTTTCCGATTTTAACATTGAAATATTCAATGTTGCCTTGAAACATTGTTTGAACTGCTGTCATACAAACTCACTTCAGAAACACACTAGATTTTAGGGGCCTAACATTCAGTTAATGTAAACAAGAGCCAAAAGTCTAAACATAAACCAAAAAATCTGAAATAACCTTCCTTGCCCTTCTCCTCCCACACCATTCACAAACTAAAATTAGAACTATTCCTCTTACTGAAGAAAAACAAAGCTTGCCATCTACCTAAGTCTACGTTTGCTGCTGACTCAGCCACTGACTTTTTAAGATGTCTCTCATATAGGGCCCACTCCTGCCCACTATTTTTTAAATTAGAATACTGACTTATTAAAAGCTTTAACAAATTCAGCCATCTTGTCTCGGTTAAGCTTACCTTTAGTCCTATTAGCCATAATCCAATCCAAGCACTGGATTCTACGCTTCATAAGTATTTGTTCGTTTCACAATGAACAGTTGTTTCATTGCTACTTTAAGCATTAAGTTGAACATTGAGATGTTCTGTCTGTAATCACTGGATGCACTTAGAAAGAATTTCCCTGCAAATCATGATCAGTATTGTGAGGTTTTATATCTAGCAGCAAAAAAAAAAAAAAAAAAATGCAAAGAGTTACAGAAATATACATTTTGAACAACAAAGAATTCTTTATTTTACAAAATGTATTTCACCTTTTCAGTATTGCCTTTGTAAATGTACTTCATGCTGCAACTACTTACAGTAAAAACATGATTTGCAGCAAATTAAAGGTGCTCAGCCAGTTCCAACAGTTTGATTTTTTTTTTTTTTTTTAAGGTACAATATTATGTAGTTGCACATTTGATTCTCAGATGTGGTCCTTTATTTGCTTTAGTTTGTTGAAATCACAGTGAGAACTTCTCATCAACTGCCTCAGGCCACAGATTTAATGAAGATACTACAAGCACAATCGTTCTTTACTGCAAAATCTTTCCTTAAAGAAGTGAGCCAAAGGCTAGTGTTTCATTTATTCACTTGCTGCTGTATATGAAGGAGGAATTCATAGTATGATAAGGCTGATTCTGTTCTGTCTTCAATCATATTTTGCAGAAAACTTGATTTCAATGGACTGTCGTCCCTTAAAAATGAAAATATAAGCATTTGAGTGAAATAAACATTCGCCAAGATCTACAGTGCAATGCATTAATAAAGCTACAGGTCAAGTGGCAAGATATTTCAAGAGTTTAAGGACATATGAAAAAAGGATCTCAAATAGCCCTTGTGATTAATCCTAACAAGGGCAATTATCAGCATTTACCACATTTATCCAACATTAACTAAAGATTGTTCTATGACATGTAGTCTTTTTTAGTCTGGAAATTCTAAGTGGAGACAACTCATAACAAGTCATATCCGTTGTCAAATCTGTTAGAGGCAGCATGCACTGTTGTTAAAATTTTCATTAAGAAAGTTCAGTATATGATATCCAAATACGTATTGTTAAGAGGTCCCTAAAGAAGCACAGAGACTGTTAAAAAACCACTTACTTTATTATATATAGTATAGGAAAGAAAGGTCTCTGTTCTCTCAGCCAAGAAATGAAAGCTATTGTTCTGATGGATTCTGCAGTTTCAAGTTCTGGGAGATGTGTCTAAGAGGCAAAGGGTATCATTAATACATACATGATATTTTTCAGGAAAACAGCAAAAGGAACACTTAAAATAGCCCAACTCTATCCTAATCACGTATAAAGGAAATCCAGACAGATAAGTTTTGTGATGTATAGTTTTAGTCTAGTCTCCTTTTAAAGGGCTTGAAACGGTCAAGTGCACTAAACTGGTATCAGCAATTGACTATCAGAACGGTGATGACAGAGCTGTGATTGATACCTGTTTTATTGCAGAAACCGAAGGATTTCCCACTAACCCACTGTGCTTGCTGTTTGCAAGTATTCTCAGTCTGCTCCCACAGTTCTCAGAAACTTAATCATTGCCAGCCTCTTCTTACTGCGCTTTCATGGGAAGATCTATAGAGTTTTAGCCTGGAGAAACTCCAAGAGAGGTAATAGAAATTCTTTCTTTCTTTCCCTGAATCTGGATTTATAGTGAATAATAACTAAAGGGCTAATATTTGAATAGTAGTATTTCAGTTCTCGTGAAAATAATATTCTGGCAGGACTGTACCATTGGTGTGCAGCAAAGTAAGCACGTACCATATTCTGTGGTATTGAGCCATAATTTGGAACTCCAAGGACTTGGCTGATAAAGCTCTGCCCACAGTTCTTCCCAATCCACAGAAACATTACCTGAAAGATACCCAGTAATACCAACATTAATCCAGTGCAAAACCACACCTCAGCGGTCTCTTACACATTTTGAATTCTCAGAAAGAATGCATCAAGTAAATTTGGATACTTTTTAAGATCACCACCACCACACAACTTACAGAGCCAGCATCCATAAGGTAAGCACCATCCCTACTCAACTTCTCCACTGACAGCTGGAGAATGGGTGGCTGAGGTATAGTTCTATCATTTATGTTAAGAGCCCCCTAAAGGAAAAAGCAAAAAGAAAAACAGTGGTTCACATCTTGATGCATTGAAACAGGCACAAAAACAGAAGGTTAAATAAGAATAGGATGTATTACACTGAATACTGAAGCTGGACCCTTTTTCTCCGTTTAGTTCAAGTCATACTTCAAGTGCATAATTTACTAATAAATCTTATAATGTTTTATTTGGAGAGGGTGTACTTCATCAACTTCATCTTAGTTAATTAGTTCTAGAACTGGAATATCAGATTTGTTATGTACAAAAGACATGATTTCTAAAATTTTTTAGGCTCTTACACAGACATTCACTGTTCACAGAACTATTTTGACATTTTAAAATAAAAGGAAGCTACAGAGAGACAAAAAGCATGTTATACTATCTTTACATATATGTGATTCATAGTGCAAGATAATGACACAAGGCAAAAAGTGAAGTAATTTAGAAAAAACCTTCCCCATCCACCCATAGCCAGAGCACAGCTTCTCTCCAGAATTCCTCAATCCAGTCCCAAATAACAAATGCATAAATGCAACAAATGGGAAAATATGAAACAGTAAGTTTTAGGTACACAGCTTTAACATAGAAAACTTGTGAGATTAACACAAATAAATTTTCACATCATACAAATCTTTGGAATCAGACAAACAGACCATGTAGCAATGCAAATACTCACCTCATCTGTGAGATTATCAACTCTGTACAGACTGGGATGTGTCATAAGCATGAGGTAAACAAGGGGCTGGTTTTTCACTTGACACATGGTAAAAATGCGTTCATCTAAACGTGCGTTTGTCCCAGTTTGAAATGCTTTCTGCAAGATCAGGCATTTAATTTGACCATTAAAGCAAAGTCAGATAAGCTGAATTTAGCACAGCATCTATTGTTTATTTCTAACTTACTTAAGTCTTAGGGATGAGCCATTGGTATTTTCTCATGGTATGGTATTTTACCACTGCTATTTTAATTCTCCATAGTTCTCTTCAGTGTTTCACATATAAATCATACAAGTCTCCTTATTCCCGTTTCTGGGTTCTAGAATTAACTGTGACCTTGCACCATCAATCCTTTCTAGTGAGCACTACAGCTGAGATGACAGCATCTTGAAATATATCTCTTCTAACATACCCCTCAAAAATGCTACTTGATGGAATTTAAAAGAACAAATATTGGAGCAGTTTACGATTGCTTCAATGTACATAATCTTAGATAGTTGTGGATTTACAAGAAAGAGATACTCCTGGCTCGATGGGACAAAAAAAAAAAAAAAAAAAAGCTAGAAATGAAACAAGGGCTCACTCCTCCCACTTGACTGGGTCAAACACTTATAAAGTCTTCTATATGAAAAAGCTCACATGTCAGGATGAACATGCTAGTAACAACATGCTGGGTAATTCCTTATCAAGAGGCATGAATCAGAAAATTCTCTCTAGAACAGAAAGCTAGCTTGTCCAATACTTAAAATCACTTCTAGTATCATTTCAGTGAAATACAGTCAAAAAATACTTACATTGAGTAAATACTGTGAAATGCTTTAAACCTTTTGCAAGATCAGGCAGCCAACTACCTCCTTACCAGCCAGGTAGCTCTCTTTTAATCCACATTGAACTGCTATGTGGAGCTACGTTTCCAGAAATGCACAAAAATTAGATTTCTGAAAAAAACACTCTACCAGTACCCTGCCACATTCTCTAGACTAGTCAGTGTCTTTAATATTTTCCTATTCCCTTGCCTAAAACATTTATACTTTTTTTTTTTTAATACACACTTCTGAACTCCTGCTTCTCAACTAGATCATTCTCCATAGTGATATTCTTTAAACATCTTCTCTATCCCCTATCACTCTCCTCTGCAGGCAAGAGCAGAAGGCCCATCCATTACCCTGATACATTTGCTCATTTGCTCCATAAAATTCGCCAAATCCCTCCATTTTTCGTAACAGACTCCAAGATAAAAACATATTTGCCACCTGTAAAATCATATGTTATCTACCCAGGCCTGAGAAACAATTAAATACGACTTGTTCTACACTGACTTTTCAAGTCATCAAATTCTGGGGCGCAGAGAAATGGAATTGTTATCTTGAGAGAACTTTTATCTGTGCAAGAAGGATCATTCTCAAATCTAAAATCTCTCAGTACTCTAATGGCAAATTGCAGGAAGACTGGTTTTATTAAACAATCTAAATCAAGCAACTTCTCCATTTTGAGTCCTTCAAAAATACTGAAAGAGAAGCTAGATGCCATTTTGTACATCGAAGAAATGTCTTTTTACTTCAGGTTGACATGCCCAAACAGACAATCACGCTCTTGCACAGCTTCCTTGTAACTCTTACCTGTTTTAAGAGTGCCAGTACATAAAGTGGAAAGAGCCGTAGTGAGAAGGGGGCCATGAGACCAGGTTGTTGAATGCTTAAGACTGATGAACGGTAAGCAGATAAAGAATCTATCACTGCGTTGACCAAGGCATCCCGAGCATCACTCAAGGTAGCAGAAACTGATCGATCCACAGCTAAAAATAGAGCACAAAGCTCAAATAAGAGACTTTTTGTCCCTTGGTAGGAGTACAGTCACATATGTTAACTTTTCTCATTTTAACATATACTTCCATGCATCTTAATAAGCTTTTACTACACTATAGAGGAAGCCAAGTGATTCAGAAAAAAAAGCCAGGGGCCCATGATGATGCACCAGAGTAAGTCCAGGTGACTACATACATCTATACTGATACTTTACCTAAGCCAAGCATTAAAAAAACCCAAACAACCAACCTCTTAGGTTTGCAACTTAGAAAGCACCCTTAGAAAGAAACAATCTTTTCTTCTAATGTTACTCCCTAGAGGACTACTGCTCAGAGCTTTAGGGCTGTCATCCATACACATCCAAACAAGCTCTTATCATACTTACCCATATTGGCTAACAGCCCAGTGATGGCTTGTACATCTGCCCCTAGGTAGACCTCACTCAGTGTTGTTACAACAGGTAAGCACATAGTGTGGACACGAATTCGTCTTTCACCTGTAAGAAAAGAAAAACTGTAATCTCCAAACATAACTTTTGTTTCATGAAAGAATACAAGAAATGCCACTGTTTACTCAATAGCAAAAAGAAAATTTAAGATTTAATCTAATTTATCATACAAGTGGTGAATCAGGCCATTTCCAGTAGCTTTTAAAAACAGTTAGGTCTCAGTTTCTGGGTTAAGTCTACCTATTTTCAGACCAGAGCTAAGTTTTCCAAGAAACTTCTCGGTCTGGAGGAAGCAATAACATCAACAACATGAGTAACATATCACAGCTGTGATCTTGATAGTAGATAAAATAGTTTGTCTAAGTTACTGCAACTGAATAGCAGCTGATAAATGGACACAAGAAAACTCATCTGAATACTGTACTGTCAATGCAGCTAACAATACCTGAATATCTTACCTTTGCTGGATGTGTACAGGAGAGCTGACTGAAAGGAAACAACCTGCATATCAGTAAGACTCTCTTCTACTGACATTTGCACAGCATATCCTGCATCTGGGTTTACATTGGGTAATGACAACAAGTCTGTAGATCGTACGAAGAAGTTCCCATGGAAGGTATGAATGGAAAGACCTACAAGATAAGCATGGCATCAAATAATTTTTATTTTTATAGTCGTGAAGTACAGACAGCATGTACACATGTGCCATCACTGTTAGATTGCTCTGTATCAGAACGTTAAGATCATTCTCAATGAAATAAAGCATCTTCAGGAAAGGTAAATATCCTAAACAGACAACTAATCCATAGAATCCACAAAGCCTCACAGAAAGCAGGAATTAGGAAGTCAAATCAATGCAGAATAGTAGTAACTCTCTAAACTATAAAAACAGTCCCTTGTTGAAATAGCAGTCCAACAAAATTTCCAGTTTTAACCACTGTAAAATGGAACTTGGATGCCAGTAAAGATACTGCAAATACAGTCTTTAATAAATGGTCTGATTCCTGGTACTGAATTTTACTTTTCTAATCTTTGTCTTTTAACCATTTAAGCTTACATAACAGCCAAAATACCAATCAAAACATTTCTAAATAACAGTAAACACCCACTTCCCTCTGCCTGCCCGCCCCACTCCCCCAATCAAAAAAACTGTGTTCAAACCTTTGGTGCATCTTATCCTCATGACAGCCTCAAACCCAATCTTTCTAGTTAAATATCGTTTCAGTTCCTTTTGCAGTTTCTCCACCTGGACAGGGTTGTGTTTATGATGGTAAGACTGGTAGTAATAGACACTACCCGCAGAATACCTTGATATACAACCTGAAACAAAACCCACATATATTGGCAGATTGCAGGCAGTTGCTGGTGTAAATCTTTTAAATATACCAGTTGAATGCAATATTCCCTTTAATTATTAAACTGTTCACACCTGCAAATAGTTGTTGCACAGTTACAGACCTGCATACAGAGACATAGATGTAACACAACTGTATGTTCAAGTATGTGCGTAGTTTCAGGTGTTAAAATAATTTTCCATTGGCCTGAAATTACAGGTACTTTGTCACTTGAAAGTGGTTAAATGGAGAAGAAAATAACTAAAATGCTAATGAAGCTTTTTCTAAAGATGTTTACACTGATGGTTAAAAGGCATAAAAGAAGGAGAGCCACTTATACCAGGATCACAAGAATCCTGACTCACTAAGGGAGAATATAAAAACAGCTAGGTTAAATCAGGAAAGACTGAAAGATTACATTCTATTCACTGTCACTGCTCATCAAGGATTAATTTGCATCTTAACACACTAGATTCATTCAAATCAGGTTGATATACTAAATGTTAATGTAGATTCTATGTATTTGCCAGAAGTACAAGAGTTACACGCCCCAGAACAGCTTAATATGACTTACCTAGAGAAGCCAAGTCAGAATATTGTCCGCTAAGAAGAAATAAATCCACTGCAACCTGTTGCCCTGAGCAGTCCAAGGCTAACTTCTTGTAAAAATCAGTCGATGGTGTCAGATGTATGTCCTGTTAATACAATAGAGTATTACAAAATACAAAAGGAAATTCAAACAGATTAACACATTTAATGCCTGTTTTCAGAGACACTAATAATTGATTCTTCATAACTGATTACAGTGGCATCTTAAAAAAAAAAAAATCAGATCATTAATCTGTGTTTATAGTGCTTGGGTTTTTTTTTGTTTTTTCTACTACTTTAACAAAGGAAGGTTAGCCCAACAAGAGAACCACAAAATCAACCCAGAACAGGCAATTCCAGAACCACCTACATGTACAGAACAGGGTAGTCAGTTCTCTCAGCCTTTTTGCTTTTCTAACCTTTGCAGTTGCTCTTTGGTTTGGCTCTTCTCGTGACTTTAGTGCTCCCATTCCCACAGATGGAAGCTGTGTCTGGAAGACAGAGATTCTACCTCCAGTGGGGGACATCAGTTTAAAGGCAGCCTGTAATGCAGGCCCCAGAGCACTCTGAGTTTCCAGGGACTTGGTAAACATCTGTGGCAAGGTCCTCAACAGATCTTGAATTAGCTACAATTGAGAAAACAAATGTATTAAGGCTAGGAGCCTTTAGAGTTTTCTTCTTTATAGAGCTGATTGCTCAACATACATAAACACATATAAACACTTCTAATACTAAGGTAGTAAAGAAAAGGCCCTAGCAAAAGTCAAGTACTGTCTTGTTTCAGGTTGGCAAAAGTTCACAGTCACATAGATAAAGTAAAAGACCTCTTTTTTCCACCTCAAACTTGGCATTTAAACTGTAGGTGTTAAAGAGCATTAAGTAATCCAGGAATTATCAAGCATATCCCAAACTATGTGAATGCCACTAGTTCTTTAAGGTAGTTCTTACCTCTTTATTTTCATTTAAATTTACTAATAAGTTTTCTGGCATTGGTATAAATACATCTGGAAGGAAAAAAAAAGTATTTATTTTTTAAAAACACATCAAGCTTCCCCCAATTCTATTTGCCAGCCATTACACCTATTGAAAAAAGAATACAGTATCAGTGTGTAAACCCATTTAAACACAATTATGTGGATTGCCTTTTTTTTTTTTTCCCCTCATAAGCATACCTGTGGCTAGAATGCCATGTTAGAGTAGCAATCAACAGGGCTGAAGGATAATTAAGACTATTAAGTAAAAACACATAGCGAAGATTTTCTAGTGTTCATTCTGCCCTGCCCTATAACATAAAGTAAAAGGTGACTTGAAACTAAAGGCAGAAGAACAAGCGCTAAGCATCAGTCACCACAGAATCTGTAACAATTTACCAAGCATCAGTATTTGGGATCGTAAGAGAAATCTAGATAATTGTACAAATTAAACTAGAAATTAGGAAGGCTGTCTTCATGTTTTACATCCTGAAGAGCCACAGCATTGCTCGTACATCAGGGGCTTCATAAACGAACACAGAAATATGCTACTTCTAAAGCCATTGCTAGAGAGACTAAGGATCTGATCTAGAAACTCTCACCAGATATATTTTTTAAAAAGGCTGTCAAAACCAGCAGTCATTAGTAGATACTAATCACAGAATTTATTTCTGCATACCTTCAATATCTGAAACTATAAGCATCTGAGGCTGAGAGAGACCTTCCTGAAGACTGTAGAAATGGATTGTGCTGTCAAATGTTATGAAGCCTATTTTTGTTCTAGTGTTCCCAGGAAGCCTAAAAATGAGACATACGGTGTTCAGCAAGATGAAATTTCATTTCTGCAGGCTTTTTTTAAAAACATCCACTGCACCTGTCTGAGGTTGTTACCAAGTAGTTAGCTTAACAGCTACACTGCAACAGCTTGAGTAAGTCATTTTGGAGAAAAGAAGAAAGAAAAAAAAGAAGCTCATAGTAGAGTCACCTAGCAGACACTCAAGAAATTTTTTAAGAGGGTATTAAGAAATGGAAGAAAAGGAAGAAACAAGCTGCAAATATCAAGCAGCATTTATATTGGTTCAAACAGCATGTATTTTATGAAAAGTTTATTAGACGTAAGCATTCCTTTCAGCAAATGCTTATCTGAACTTCAGCTTTTAAAAAATACAGTTCAAAAGACATCATAAACATGATGTTTAGTCCTTTGGGGGATTGATGAAGCAGATAGGAAAGAGCCAGACTGAGAAACAAGACTCAAAATTACTTTTGATACCAGTGCAGCTGTGATGGGAAAAAGACTACAGCTTTACACTACATTTTAATACATCATTGGCCACTGCTAGCCAATGCTAGGAAATTTCTCTTCTAGACAGGAAGTACTGGCATGTTGATGTCTATGACAAGTTTCATAAGAGGAACGAAAAAAGGAGATTCTAAGAAAAAGGTACTTACAAGTCAAGATTGTCTAACAAGGTGTGGCAGACTGTATTCAAGTATCCTGTCTCTATTGCATTATGAGAGACATCAAACACAAAGAGGTACACAGGTGGTTGAGGTGGACGTAGCTGAGTAAAGAAAAGATTACCTTTAATTTTCAAATTAACATTTATTAGATTGGGTTTATTCATTCCACTGCAAGTTTAAACTCTATTAAAACAGCATACAGATGACAGGTAAAACTTCTGAATGCATTTGTCTTACTCAGTAGCTCTAGAACTATAGTTTTCTTCCAGAAGACCTAAAAATGCCTACATATTTTAAATGCAGAACTTTGACATCATAAATGTTTAGAAACGAAGAACTATCTGAAGTCCTTCCCATGAGTTCTCAGATACACTCCTTGAGGCAGCAACTGTTCTACTAAGCTGGAAAGCATCCTCTATAACAAGGCTTTTTCTGACTTCCCTCTGGAAATAAAACAAAGGGAGAGAATAACTAGAAGTAAATAAAGCCTTACCATGTATTCAGATGGAGCCATAAACTCAATAGTAGCATTCTGGACTTCAGGTCTTTTATGAGGTTCTCCATAAACTCTTGTCACAGGATTATACATGAATTCTTCAGGAACTATATATAAACAGATAAGTTTATATATTATTACTTGACACTAGTATTAGCTGTGCTGCATTTTAAAACAAATACATCAACTCTTTTGTGCCTGTTGGGCAGCGCTTCTTGGAGAACTATACTAGATAGGGCAGCTACTTTGTCACCTGCTAGGGTACCTTGGAAGATGACATCTGACTTACTGTGCCTCATTAGTGACACCACTGTCTTTGCCCATGGGAAACACTTCTCATGTCTCACAGTCCCAGCATGACTGATGATGATCGCTAGTACTGATATGGCCAACAATATTACAGTCTCAAAGGCCAAGGTGGGAAAGGTTAACCTTAGCAGTTTAAAACAATACGCACATTTAAAACCTACCATCATTCACTCTATAGCACAAATTGCATTTCCATCTCCTTTGGTCTAGAAAGCTGACAAAAGGGTTAATGTATGTCCTGCAGGAACGGCATCTCACAATAGTACTTGAAGTGACCACTGGCAATTGCTGGAAAAGAAAAGCTTCCTGTTTTAAAGCATCACCACACTACAGCTATTCACCTATGATAACAACATTTTCTTCCTGATTAGCTAGTCAAAACATACTTGTTGAAGGAAGTATTTCTGCATCCTCACAGCACCCCTACAATTCCTTAAGAGGACTGGTTGGAGCTCTAACCTATTTGACTGCATAAGTTCCCTTTTCAAGCCTCTAAAGTCTTGCATTTTACTTTGATCGTTTAAGACCAAGTCCTATACCCAATACAGATAAAAAAAATCAGACACCCCCCCCCCATCTTTGAAAAATTACTTAAATTGTGAAAAATAACAATGTTTAAAAGAGGCACTGCTAAATTCACAGTCTTCTGGCTATCTGAGGACATCCAAACCCCTTTAACTTTGTTAATTCTTAATTAAGAATTAGTACTAGGTTTGGTATAGGAAATCAATAACTACAACTGATATCTCTGACAAGATAAAGCTATCGAAGCAATACTGGAATTTAAATGTGTTGCCTTCTGTCACAGTCCGAGGGCTGTGCTGCCTTTAAGCTTCTGGTTTTTTGAGGTTTGGGAGGGTTTTTCTTAATTAAGTGAGGCTTGAACGTTTAAAAATGGCAGGGAGATAAATTTCAGAAAAATTACAATGATCTGTATAGAACAGGGAAAATGTCAGTTACCAGGGTAATTTTTCTGGGCCAAGATTAGCCAATGTACTTGCCCTTCTTTTATAATCCATTGTCCAGCTCTGGACTTTAATACAGGAGTAGTTGATATTTCAGCATTTAAAGTTTTGAATATTTGTCATACCGATAAGTCTTTGAAAGGATGAAGCAGGAGCCCCAAAGGAAGTTTGGCTTTATTCAATAAGGCCTGAGTTTGAGGAATGTTAGTCAGGGTACAGCGGAACAACCTACATGGAGGACAAAGGGTTATTTTCAGAGGCTTTCAGATAATAAAATTATTTCAGTAGTACAGAGCACCCTTATATTTTTCTAGAGCTGGTGATGGTGAATATCCATTTCCAGATAAAGGATCTTCTCCAACTCCGTCAAATCATTCTGTTTTAGTCTGAGCTTGACCCACAGTACCTACTTTGAGTTCTTATGTTATTTTATACACATGCTCTTTGCACAGAACTGAGCATCACTTTAGTCACTCAAGTCAAAGCTAAGCCTAACAATGTTCAAAGTTGCACCAAATCTTTATATACTAAGTGTTATTTTGGAATACTATTTTGAGGTGGCCTTATATACAAATCTGAACTAGTGAAGTTTAAAAAGTTGTCTTAAAACTACACAAAACTAACGATAAACAACCCCACAGTCATTTCAGGGACTTTAGAACTTAGTGGCTTCCACAAGTGCGGATGTGCACAGTACTTCTGTAAATCCAGTCCAGCTTGTTTGTTTGAACAACTTCACAAAGATGCTGTTATTTCCTTTATCTATCAAAAAAGACTTGGAAAGCAGGAGTACCTGGTTATACACAGTTTGGTTGGTCTCCTCAAAGAGAGGACTTGAATAACCAATTGCCAGACTCTTGTTTGACATTCCATTTACTCCATTGTTTTAAATGGTTACTTCAATACGGAGGTCACTCATGTTTCTGCATTCACAGTCTTTTTGGTGTACCTCACTCAAGTGAGTTAACTCCTATTTTATATCTTTTCTCAATCATACTCACTGCCAGCTATATTGTAAAGTTTTTGTGTTGTACCTATCTATAGCTGCCTTGCAAGCAATGTATTTTTCCCTCATACTTTCTACACAGGTAATTTTCCACATTTCAAAATTTAAACCACTTACCGCCTTTATTGTAACACAGTGAAGCCTGTTTTCAATGTTTTCTACTCACAAAATTAAGGAAATATTTTGTGAAGAGTTATGTCTACAAGTAGGCATTTATAATTCTACTTATTTTGATGAATTATAGCAAATGGATAATCTTACTCAGGGTTACAATTGAGCTTCTGGATGTCTTCATGCAAGTTTGGGACAGGAGCCTTCAAGAGGGTCATAGGAAGAATATTCCTTTCTTGAAGAAGATTCACAGGTCTTAATCCTTCTTGCTGTAGACTCAGGCCCGCCATAGATGCAGTTAAGTGATTAGTACCCAGGGCAGGCTAGAGTCAAAATTTCAGAAATTAACACCAATTACTTGGATGAAACCCACAGTTCATTTAAAAAGCAAACATATTTCCCTTTCAGTTTTTTGTTTTGTTTGTGTATTAACTGCCATTGTATTACAACAATACATTTAGAAATACTACTTGTTACATAAACTTGGACTTAGGCATGTAACATAACAGAGGTAAAAATTAGCATACATTTGCTACAAAGCTCTTGAAATACAGAGGCTCAGCTGGCAAAAGTGTTCGTCAGTTTGCTTTGAAATTTCAGGAAAATAACCCAATACTTCAGCTAACAATAGCAACCTGAGGGAAGAAAAACATGCCAAAAGCAGCTGAAAGTTTTAAGAGTAATATTCTTAACAGATTCAAGGATAGGAAACTTCAGAAAGAGCTGGCACCCAGCTTTTCCAAACTGATACAAGGCATCAGCAAAAGCATTAGTTTTAGACTACATCTACCATACTGAACAAATGGCACACCAAACAGCAAACCGTAGGAGCAGCACCCCACAGATGCACAACACACACCAATCTTCGCTTTTCTTTACCCACATGCACCACGGGTAGTACCAAGATAAAAACCAGACAGTCTTTACCTGGTGGAAATGTTTAGATCCATCCGGATATTGCAAAGCAGATGCTTGCATTCCTGGTGCTCCAGGTGGAGAAGTATTTTGGTAGCCTGGAGGTAAGGTAGGGTAAGAATACCCAACACTTCTATTCATCTTAAGATTTGGAGGTGCAGGAGAAGGATGTGGAGTTGCTAAAGGCAGAGAAGACAAATACTTAAAATTAATTGCTGAAGAACAGCAACTTGCTCAGTGTGTTAATAAAGCAGGAGGGCTTTTTGTTGTCATTTAGTTTCTAAGTGTAAACAACTGACAACTGCTGTCAATTTTGCAAAATGCTCTTAACTGCTTTACCATACTTACAGGCAGACATGCCCATTGTCAATGCTTCAAATTTCATATTTAGTTTCAAGACATCGAACCAAGTATATATGTTTGTACATAAATGCCTAAAATTGTCTGTCCCAGACTCTTTTAAAAAAAGTTACATAATAATAAACATTTTTAATTCCAAAGCCTTACCCATGAGGCCACCACCTTCTATTGCATCATAGCTGTTTTGCACCACAGACCCATCGCTGGCAGCAGATGTAGCATCGCCTATTAAGAAACACAGTCTCAGTAGAAATTTTCACAAGTTACTAAGAAGTTGTAGGATTTATTTGGAATTACCTCGTGACCTGCTGGATGAATATTAAGATTACTTTGGATCTACTTTGTTCTGTCCCAGGACAAAACCAAATTAAATATACATCTTAACCTCTTTCTCACACACACTTTCCCTGCTGACGTGACCTCAACAAAGGACATTCATAAAACCCCACAATCTTTTTTCAAGGGAAACAAAAGTCCCTACACTGCTGGTTGAATGATCTTTTAAGATTACTTCAGATTAGATATTTGCCTTAACTTCCAAGCTGATACACAATAAAGTGTCAGGGTACACTTCCTTCTCAACAGAGGAAGTGTCTGTAGGCTAGCTGCAGTTTTCAAAGCACCTTGGAATTTAGGTACTGAGTTCCCTGAAGAACTTTTTCCACTGATAATTCACAGAAACACCAGATGCCCTTCACTTACACACTTAGTCCAGCACTGCTCACCAAACACCAACAGTTCTGATATGGTCACATACCAGTAAAGATATAAATTCCAGCTGAGCGAAGAAAAACCTTGAAATTGAGAGGGTGCTCCTAAAGGACTGCTTTTTGTAAGCTAGCTATGTCTCAATATACAAACCCAACTACCTATTGCTAAGGAGAAGGAGGTACTCAATTTACTTTTTATTATCATTAAAATCTGTAAAGGTGGCCCAATGAAAGGAACTTGCATTATACACTGAATCTTGCTAGTATGCAACAGTCGAGCTACTTCACAGACTAAACATTTCTATCTCTCCATGGCCCTGGAAATGTTTCTCTTCATTTTGAAGAAAAGACTTTCTAAGCAGAAGCAGTTTCTAATGCATTTCATATGTTCAAAGCTAAGCTAAATCTCAATATACTATTCTTGTACTCACACAGCTACCACATAAAAGAAACTGTAAATCTGAACATGCAAGGAACCAACAGCTTTGACAGAACAAACTATATATGTAGAAATAAAACTGCCGACTACCACGTGGCCCCATCTAGCATGGGCACTAAATGCAATACAACTATAGGTCTGTTTCATACAGAGCCCTGATGAGTTCTTAACCAATGGCATATTTGTGCAAGGCCCACAGGAGACAGAGGAAGTCAGGTATCTGTCTTCAACAGCTGACACTTAACAGCCTCTAGTAACAACCTTCGGAAAATGAACAAATCCAAGGTATGTGTTTCAGTGATTTTACACAGAAGGGAAGAATAAGGTACAGCTACATAAACAGGCAAGGAATTGCAGGGTCCGCATTTGAGCTTTCCCTGCAGAATAAAACAGTACAGGAAGTTATACATAGATTATATCCTCCACAGCAGTTAAGGATGCAGAGAAATCAAAATTTCAGTATCACTTTAGAACATTAAAAATAAAAAAAAAGAGATGGCAACTATGGGAGACATGGACATGTCAAACAGCACTTAGGAATCTATTTTGAAGTGTTAATTGTTTTATTTTATTAACAACTGTCAACAAGAAATATTTTACTTCCTTCCAAGTCCTTACCTGCTCCTTTCAGATAAAATTATGCTGCATTAGTATCAATTTTACCATTTGAGTGTCTAATAGAACAGTGTACTTGACTTTAAAGGTTGCACATTAGAGCAAGTTGTAATGTGCAAATTCAACAAAAAGAGCAAATTATTTCTTACCATCTCGATTTGCAGCTGAATTTAGCAGAGACTGTGTATTAGGTGGTCCCGCTGTCAGTGTTGATGGCCTAATTAAAGGTGGACCACCAACTGGTGGAGGTCCTAAAGGTGGCCTTGCAGGAGGGTGGAGTGGAGTTAAAGGCTGAGTCACTGGTGGAGGTGCAGATCCTGTAAAGAGATTAATTTTTACAAGGAGTTTAAGCCAGCTTAGAAAGTCACAAAAGTTTTGTTACAAAAACATGCAGATTGAACACTAAATATTCCTCTTATTCAAATCATGAATAGCATGAGATACATAAATACTAACATGCATCTAGAAGGTTTAACAACTTTGGATTGTTTCTGTCACGCTCTTCTCATACTGGGTTCCTGTAGCTATTATCCATGATCTCTCTTTCAGCTTTTTGCTGCTATTGTTGGGAAGAATTTCAAGAGGTACAGAAAGCATCCCAACTTCAGTTACTAAGTCTGGACTTTATAAAGTTATAGTACAGCCCCATATGAATGAACTAGTAAGCGTCTAAACAGATCCCTTCTGACAGGATGCTCATCTTCCATTTCAATAATCTGATAAAAAACAGCAATGTACAGATTCTATAGCTACTAAAATTGCTTGGCAAAAAGATTTCACTTGGGAAAGCATCAGCAATGCACAGTTTGAATAAACTTGCTGTGTGAGTGTGAGGTGTTTTGCTCTGAAATGTTTAACCCTCCATGTTAAAAGTCACAGGAAAGTTTTTAATTGCTTCTTTTTTAAAATTCTAGGACTTTCTCAAGCCAAGACATTTAGAAACCCAATTGCTTTTCTTCCCTTCAAATAATGCCAAATCCTAAGGACACTTCCACCCCTTTTTTCCCTATATTCCAGAGGCCAGTAAAACTGCCCCTTTAACTCTAGGAAGACACCAATGTTTTAATATAAAAGCTAGCCTTTCAAAAGATAAGGCCAAATTGTACAGTATCACCAGGTCTCAACATGGTATAGAAGCCTGTAAGCCATACACAAAAGTATACTGACGAATTTCCCACCACACAAAATATGCAACTTCATGAGCCTCCACAGTATGGTCACATTTAAGGGGGGAGGGAGAGAAAAAAAGGAAGGAGAAAAAAAAAAAAATTACATTCAGTGAAGTTACCTGTTTGTTCACTTAGTGTTTGATACTGCAGAACTAATTAATAATTGCTATATGCAGGCAATACTATCACAGAACTTGGAAGAGATTCTGTCTCTGAGAGGCTGTCCAAAGTTGGCCATGCAGGCAGGAAGCTGGCAGAGCTTTGTTCTAAGAACGAGCATGATCAGCAAGACAAGCTAAATTAATTTTAAAAGTGATCATTGTTCTACAAAAAACTACCAGGAAAGTGCTCAGGAGGAATCACCCTTGAATGGACATAAGAACTCTCTTATTCCAGACACTCACTCATTTCATATGCCACTTTCCAAAATTTCTCAGCATTTTCCTCCCTAACTCCAAATTCCTAATTGTTTATTCCAATAAACTGCCAGAATTAGTTTCATAAATTCTGTGAGCTTAAGACAGTTTGAATATCCTAACAAAATTAGTCAGGCTTGTAACAAAAAACCTAGCATCAAGAAAAATATCTAAGGAGGCTAAAAGCATTTCACAAGAAAAAAATATTTGCTTTAACATATAAAATATTTCTGTATGTAACTCCTATTAGCTCAGTTTAAAAAACCCCTCTGTAACGAGGAACAGCAATCTGGCAAAGAGAAGCCTGAGTATTAACTTTGTTTCCCTAATAATCAGAAGTTATATAAGAGAGCTATTTAGTGTTGAAAAAGCTTTTCGCCACTGCATATACCACCACACAAGCAGCAGTAACAGAAGTGGTAATTCTTTGCATCGCATGCTTTCAGAGTACATTCTAAAGACTGACAATTATTATTAGATAGTGAAAATTACAAGTTTGGAGGAAGGAAGCTTTCCATTCAACTGGCCTCTATTTCAATGGCACAGAATGCTTTTCAGTTTTCTTTCCAGGCTGTCCTCAAGTTGTTTGCATCAACCTGACTTAGGCTGTTCAGAGAACTACATGAATCAAGTGATTAACGGAAAGGCTAACAAGTTTTAAACTGAAAAGGACCATACTCACTCAACAGGACTACAGTTTTCAACCATGAAGTCCCAAAGTCCCCACTTGACTGAAGCATGCCAGTGCTCCAACAGCCACCCCAAGGAACGGTGGAGGTCACAGAAACAGCATTACCCACACACAGCTTCCCAAAATGAGACACCATTCAGGAGTTACCTGCTTCAGCCAGCTGAAATGCCTGACCCACGCACAGAACTTCCATTTCTAATCCAAAGAAACCACCCCAGTATTTGTGATGTACATTTTCTCAGAGTATCTCCTTTGACAACCTTGTTTCACAAGCACAATGTCTCTGCATAGTCAATTCTATATACTTTTCTTAAAAAGGACACGGAGAAATGGACACTGGTAAAATATAAAAAATTTATGGTTACCTGGCTTCATATAGCTGTTCTGAAGCGGAGGACCTCCTGGAGAAGCAGCATATTGATAATTTCCTGGAGGATTTGTATTTCCTGATAATGACGACGGTGACTGAGCTGACCCTGTCCCCGTCATGTGAGCCAAATGGCTTGTTTGAGACCCAACTGGCTGACTCACAGGAGTCTGGCTGTACTGCCAGTTTGAAAGCACTGGTGGGCTAGCTCCAGGAGGAAAGCTACCAGCAGATGATATAGCAGCTGAGTTTTGCAATGCAGGCAGCAGCACTTGTGGAACAGGACCTGTCTGTTGTACTGGGGACCCAGAGAAATGTGCCACTGGTGGTCTATTGAGAGTCTGCCCAGGTCCTTGATAATTGTTTAATTGAGAAACGTTCTGAGAGCCACTATAGTTGTACTGTCCAGAAGTCTGATGGGGAGGAACCTTTGCTGGCGTCTGATGCGAATACAATCCCGGAACTGAAGGGCTATATCCCTGGCCATCTGATGAATGCATCAGCTGATTTTGAACAGGGCCTGGAAGAAAAAAAACCAACAAACCCTTTAGAAAGTCAGTGTTGTGTACCACTTCTGAAAATCAGAGATGTTCCTGGGAATCTCTTTCCTTAGGATTTTATTAGTCTCCAAGCCATAAAAGTAATCTTTCTTTTTTTTTCCCCTCAAACAACCAGGTGTAAGCAACAGAAGTACTGCTGCAGGAGACATGAATTTGATAGGATTTTGCACTTAGATCTTTGTTTTGTTTTACAGTAGCCTTGCAACCACTAAGCATTCCAGTGCCTGAGTGCAATCTATCCTCCTAGACTGAAATTCACATCGAATACTATTTCTATCTTCAGAAACACCCAAAAGCAAGCCGACCAAAGAGCAGTGCTCTCCCACACAGCTGGCAGCAGTACAAGTGAGCAGACAAAGCGGAAGCATCCATTACGTAATAACTCAGTTTCATTTGACGATTGACACCAACTTAAACTTTAGCTTATGGCAAAGGCACAAACACCCAGTTTCAGCATAGGTCACCATGCTGTTTCTCAAGTAACAGAGTTAATCTATGAAAGTTTCTGCAGTTAATTTCAGTAAGAGAACTATTCCATACACATACCACTCATGTGAGTAGCTGACTGGTCACAAACATGGAATGAAGGGTGATTTTATCATAAAATAACTCACCAATCAGGAAAAGAAAACTTGATATGTTAATGGTGCATTTTATGTATTTGTTGGTTGGTATAGCTGAACTAAGTTTTACTTTCATTTGAAGAAAAAAAATTGAAAAAAGGTTAGTAACTCTCTAAACAGTAAACAACGCTGAGCATAATCAGATTTCTGTTTTACACGGGAACACAAAGAGAGAGTAATGTGAGATTTCCAGTGCAATACAAGCTCCTTTAAGAAAGTTACTACTAAAGGTTGTTCACACTGTTGCCATAAAATGGGCATTCTGAACGGAGACTAGAAATTTTCAAGTGAAATCCTTCTGAGCAGAATACACTAGATAATGCATGCCACAGCCAGCCATGACTCCTTAAAAATTACTAAAATGCTTTCCAATGTTGTATCATTTATTTAAGCCAGCCACGCTGTGGCTCCCCCCACATCCCCCAAACACACAGTTTGAATACTGGAGACATTCCACATGCACAGTTAAAACATCTGAAAGCAGAAAAGATCATCTTCATGGTTTAGAGTTAAGATCCTTTTCTTTGCAACCCCATACTATTCTCCAGATTTCCAGAATTAGTTAAGATTTGGACAATCTTTATGAACCTAGATAAACAAAAGCACTTAACTTTCCAGACCAGAAATGCCTGTGGGATTCAACACTTAAATTTTCAAAAACATGCCAGAGAGATTAGCTTGGAAAGTGGATATATATTTACCATACAAGTACTGGAAACAGCTGCTATGAGAATGAAGTCACAGAATTTCATTTAACATTGAAACAAAGACAGCTGGTTTCCTATTGAAACATTCTAGTTAAATTTCAAAAGGTGAGGAAGATCACATTTCCAAGTTAAAATAACTTTGAACTCGGGCATTTCTGACAATAAATTAGGCTAAACGCGGAATACATTAAAATACTTAGTTAGGACAAACACTGCACCGGTCATTTAGCTCCTCATTCCCTAGAAAGCCTTAGGCTATGGATCAGACAGCTGTTACTTCACTGAATATCGTACATATCCACGCTAACTACATAGCCAAGGCAGTACTACAGTGCCAGTGACCTCATCCTCACTGCCTCTGTTATTTGTGCATAAAAAGTACATACCATATTATTCTCCACCCATTAATCTCAATGCTACTTATCGTTCAGTTAGGAAATCCAGTTATACCCTGCTGTCCTTACAATGCTCCTCATAAATCCTAGTAATTAATAATTCTCTACAACCAACAGTGTCTAAACAAAAAGCTTGCAAAGATGAAAATGCTAACAATTATAACTCACCTTCGAAAATTACCCTGCAGTGTATCAGATGGGTTTTCAACAATTAATTTACAAAATCCATTGTAAATTAAACTTGCTAACTCTAAGAATGATGAAGAATTCTTATGTGATGCCAGGCCTCCTGACTGCATCTGCATGTACACTGATAAAACAACATTATTATAAGCTGTATGAAAAATACAGAACAAATACAAATTAATTTCATAACTTGATTATTCACCTTAGAGCACGACTCTGTAGCCTAGGCAGGAATCAGAATACTTGGACTGCTCTTACACACACTGTTTTCCCTGCTTGAGGGATAAGTTTGAGGATAAAGCAATGGAACTGACCGACCTGATATCTTCTACGGCACTTTGCTTTTAAAAAAAAAATAATTTAAAAAAAAAATTGAATTCCCGACAGCATGATGTTCCAAATTTCAGTTTTTATTTTTAAAGTCACAAGCACAACGAGAAGTCTCGATAGCCTGTGCGCAGTTCACGTTTCCAAGACAAGCCTGCATAAAGCTGCCAACAAAACTAAAGCAACAGCATTGAGGGGTGCAAACCCTTTCCAAAGGGCTCCACAGTGCACAAAAACTCCTCAGGACTTGCTGTTTTGCTGCTGCCAGGTACCCATCTTGACCTGACCTCTTTACTGAGGCCTGCCAGAGAGCACATAGGCTCTCCAGCTTTCCGCAAACACTGCTGCTGGTTTTCTGTGCTGTTCTGTGAAGCCAAGAACCAACAAGGAACTCAGTGTAGACTGAAGAGCTAGATCACCTGCACGGCAGCAAAACCACCAACACTCAGAGACCAGAGAAATGAGTTAGTAATACGAGGTAGGCCACCTACTTAACAGCGAAAGACACCTCTACAGGAACACAAGGTCATTTGACATTTCTAAGAGATCAGGAACGGCACCAGAATATATATGAAGGTTGCCTTATGGTTCTATAAAATGAGGGGTCAAAATATTAGTGCAGGAGGCTAGGATTCAAGTCATATTTTCTGCCATAAAGAATTTCAGCATCACCTACTCCAAGCTAGTTATTTAGTATATTACTTTCACTAGCTGTCACCTCTCCAACTTCCAGGGAGATGCAAGATAAACATACTGAAAAGCTGCATCCCAACCGAACTGCCATGGGATCTGTCACCACCAGTCCCCACTTCAGCTGACTTTGACCCACTGGTTTCCAAACCAACAGCTTCTAAAGCATCTCATGACCTCAAAGCGCCATGCTAAGATACCACATAAGGAGAGCAAAACAGTTCTAAAAGAATTGTTTCTCCTTCTTGTTTGCACTTCAGATCTATTAACTGGAAAGCAAATTAGTAACCTGCAGTTAAATGAATACAGAATACTGGTCCTATTAAAAGAAAAACACAAATGAAGTAGAAAAAGGTTGTTGCTAAGCAACCCGATGCTCCGTGCTAAACAATTTCCCAGTCAGCACACGGTGCTGCTGTGACAATTTACTGCCTTCACTTTATGGACACGCGAGCTTGGGAAGTTACCTGCAGTAAAGCAAGCAACAAGTTGAGAGGAAGAGCTGACAGCTATATAACAATTTATCATTCTGTTGACAGCTTTCTTTCCTCATAGACCACTGTAATTACCTCAAAAGTACCTCTCAGTACCCTCTAGACTGTTTTATAAAGCTTTGTTTTTACTGTAAAGGTCAAGGATTGCAAGCACCTTCTCAACATGTATTTTAACGCTAAGAACAGTCCATGCTTGAATAATCAAATTTATTCAAAAGGCCAGCAACCCAAACCTTATCTCTAACATACCACAACAACTGTTTGATTTTATTACCTTGTATTTGCATAACTCTAAGTTTCAGTTCTTGATTTTTTATACACCTGACGGCTGGGTAGCCTGAAATACCTCCTCCTCCGACTGCCTCTCCAGAACTTCCATTATGTGCTTAATCTGACTACAGGGAAATCAGCAAACATGAAGCGATGCCAGTCTGTAAATCATCCCACTTGATTACATTAGCTAACATTCTCTTTGTACATTCTCTGCTTAGACCGTAAGCTCTCCAAAATAGAGGCTCTCTCTTCAGACTGTATTCATACACTTCCCACTTTCTTGACCCTATAAGCAACTATATGGTTGTTTGTAAAATGCCATTTTGCAGATGACTTTGAGGAAACGTAATAAGTGCGCTGTGAAGGAGGAGGGGGAAGACAAGTCAAACCATTTAATTACTCGTGCATAAAACAGAAAAATCTAAAGATCTCATTATAACTGAATTGCTTATGATGCAGCGCAACTGCTGAAACACAGAAGCATGTAATTAAGGAACCAAGTACAGAGGGTGCTGCCTGTATATGCGAAATCAGGAAATACTTCCAACAGCACGGAATTCCACACATGCAAAGAAAACAGATACAGCGACAAGGCTTGCCTTGTGTTTCTTTCTTCCTAGCTTAAAAGGCTGGCTAGTAAGTTATTCAGTTTCACCTTTGACATCTCATTTTTGGAAAAAAAAAAAAAGTACATATTTTGAGGGGAAGAAAGTAATCAAGACTTTCGCAGACCGCAGCGCACGTAGCAAGACAAAATAAAAACAAGATAAAAAATTAAAAAAGCCCCGTTTCGCTGCAGCCAGGTCTCCCCCCCGCCAGCGATAACCACAGTGCCACATGTACAGCTCCGTTCCAAAGGGTCAGGGGCGCAGGGCGCTGCCTCGGCTCCCTCGGGGGTACGGGCGGCAGAAACATCGCACAGACCGGGAGACGCTCCCGGAGGGATGGTGGTGGGGGGGCAGAAGGACTCGGTCACCCCCATTTTTTTTAAATTTTTGTTTTTTAAACACCCCCCCGCCCCGGGACGCCGGGTGTCCGGTGAGGGCGTCGCTGGAGCCGGACACTGAACTGTCCCCGGGGCCGCTGCGAGCCCCTCCCGTTCCTACGGGCTGTAAGTGATCGAACCGAGCAGCTAACGCAACGGGGGACGCCCCCCCGCGTCCGCCGGCTCCCCCCACTCCCGTCACCCGGGACGCCTCCTCCCCGCGGGCACCGGCACCCTTCCCCCGCTGCCCCCGGGGAGAACGGGCGCAGGGCGGCCCGGGGGGGAAGCGCCACGGGGCAGCAATCGCCACCACCACCACCACCAGGCCCCGGCCCTGCGGCCCTCTACCGCCAGCGAGGCGGCCCCGGTACCGCACTCACCGTTGCTATAGGGCTGCTGGCCGGCACCGTTCTGGCTGGCGTAGCCGGTGGGGGGCCTGGCGGGCTGGGCCATGGCGGCAGGCTCGGCTCGGCTCGGCTCGTCCGGTCTCGTCGGTGCCGCCCGTCTGGCAGCGGCCGGCCCAGCTCGGGGGAGGAGGGAAGGGACGGGCCCCGCACCGGAACTACCGGGAAGAGCAGCGCAAGCGCACTACGTACACGTGGCACTTCCGGGAGCGGCGCTCTGCGGCAGTGGGCGGGACCTAGCGTCTTAAAGGGACAGGAGCAGGGGCTAAGTCCGGGCCGTGGTGGGTGAAGGGAAGGGCGGGAAGGAAGAGGAGGCGCCGGCGGGGCCCCAGCGGCCCGGGGCCGGGCGGAGCGTTGGGCCGCACCGTACCTCACCTCACCTCACCTCGGCCGTGGTGCCTACGACGCGGCCGGCCGGGCCCGGAAGGAGCCGCGTCGGGGGCGGAGCGGGGCGCAGCCGCGGGTTGCGGTGTCGGTGCCAGCGGAGCAGCCCGCACCTCAGGCTCGGCGGGCGGGGGGGGGGGGCGGGGGGGGGG